GAGCCAGAAAAATCAAGGCAGCCCTTCGCGGGGTGGCGGGGGGGTGGGCAGGATTTGCCTGGAGCGCTGCAGGCGGGGCAGAAAAGAGCATCTCGGACAGAAACACTTCTCCTGCCTGTCCGCTTCCCCGGTGGGATCAGGGCTGCTTGCGGGCAGGCGGCTCAGCTCGGCTCCGTGGTTGAGCGCGTGGACTGCGGAGCAACTGCCCAGGTGTAGATTCTGGCCCTGCTAGCGACTTTTCGGGGCCTTATTTTCTCATGCTGAGAAAGAGAGATTAGTGTTGTCCTCGAGTTGTTGTAAAGGTTTGACAAGCGAATCCACGTAAGCTTAGTGCTCGCGCTCTAGTACTTGACAAGGGATGTTGTCAGCCTTGTCACCTGTGTTATTGCTGTGTGTGTTTCAGTGTTAGCTGCCTGCAGGATCTGGCAGGCAGAATGGAAGGGCCAGGGGGGCCCTGGTGAACTGGGGGGCACACGTCCTATCTGTCCGATCGTTGGCTGCTTGGTGCCAGGCTTGGTGTTGCTCAACTTCTGGTTTTTCAAGAGAAGTTGAGAGTCTAGATTTTTAAAGGGCAGCTCGCGTTTTCTCAACAGTGTCTGTAAATTTGAAGTTTGTAAAAACCCAGGACAGCCCCAACAGAACCGGGGGCGGGGGACGCTAGATTTGGTTTCCAAGTCAGTCACTATAGGCGGACTTGAGGCGATGACAGGAGAAAGGCCGGGGACAGGAGTCTGGTCACATCTTGAATGCCAGCCTTCAGGGGAGCCCTAGCGGAGGAGCCCCAGGGTCTCGAACAGAGAGAGGACAGGGCTGCTTGTCCCCAGGCTAGATCCTGTGGGTCTGCGTTGCAGCCTGATGGGGCAACTGATCCCCACTGGTGTGAGACTCTGGGCCCCAGCAAGGGGAGGAGGTGGTGAGGGCGTAGATGAGGTCACACCTCCTGAGCACCCAGAGCTGGGGACAGTGTGAAAAGTACAGAGCCAACCAGCCAGGTCCTGCCCTCCCAGAGATCACCTCCCAGGGAGCTGGGTGGATGGGTAATGAGTGAGTTTCAGGGTGGTTTATCAGAGGGTGGTCTGAGTTTAGACTGAGGAAGGCCAGGGAGCAGCTGGGGGGTTTCTGCAGGAAAGGAGCTAGAGGGAAGTGGGGTCACCCCGGAACCAACCACAGGGCTTTGAAGGAGGGCTGAAGATTCAGAGCCGGCAGGGGGGTGTGCGAATGGGGTCCCTGGAGCCTCACAGCGTCTCTCCTGCCCCGCCGTGCCCCCAGGAGCCGCTCCCGCTCAGGGGACCGGTACAGACGGGGCGGCCGGGGCCCCCGGCACCACAGCAGCAGCCGCAGCCGCAGCAGCTGGTCCCTCAGCCCGTCCCGCAGTCGCAGCCTGACTCAGAGCCGCAGCCCCAGCCAGAGCCGCAGTCGCAGCCCCAGCCAGAGCCGCAGTCGCAGCCATAGCCAGAGTCACTCGCCGTCACCCGCAAGGGAGAAGCTGACCAGGCCAGCAGCGTCCCCTGCTGTGGGCGAGAAGCTGAAAAAGTGAGCAGAGGCAGGGCTGGGGAGAGAGGGTTGTCAGCCGCAGGTGGGGGATGGTTTTCATTGTCGTCTTTTCAAAGGATGTCTGAGGGGGACACAGCCCTGTACTGAGGGATCTGAGAGCGACAAGGTGCCTCCCTGGGGGTGTCGCAGGCCCATGACCTTGAGTTTCTGAATGTGCGGGGTCTGAGATGGCAGCTGTCTTTCCCTCCTTCCAGGACCGAACCTGCCGCTGGTAAAGAGACAGGAGCTGCCAAAGTCAGTAAGAATTTGGAACTCGCCCGTCTAACTCCCGCCAGCAGCAGTGCCCAAGAGCTGGGCCCGGTGGGCCTGCAGGGGGGCCCGGGTGGGCCGGGAGATCCAGCCCCGGGAATCGAGGGGGACCAGGGGGGGTGGGGGGCTCTATCCCACGAGATCCGTGTCTGCCTCCCCTCCTCACTGTCTACTGGGCTCCCTCTGTCCCTGGGCCTCCCCACCCTCGTGGTGGGTGTCCACAGCCTGTCCCTCCCCACATGCCCCCACAAGTCCCAGGCTCGTGGATGAGGTGGGTCGTGGGAGCTCCGGGACACCCACCCCCTCTCCCGCCTCTTCTCCCCCTTCCCCAGCCCAAGCTGACGCCGCAGGAGAAGCTGAAGCTGAGGATGCAGAAGGCACTGAACAGGCAGTGTACGTCTCCCCATCTGTTCCTCAGTTCTTCCAAGCCCCGCTTCCTTCCAGCCTGGCCTTGGGGAGGAGTGGGAACGCCCGCCGCTCTGCTGCCTCTGCGCCGTGGGCCTCAGGAGGCAGGCGCTCTGGTGCTCAGAGCACGGCTTCCACACGGAAGTGGGGACTCTTGTGGGTCCCCCTCAGTCACCGTGATCCTCCCTCCCCACAGTCAAGGCGGATAAGAAGGCCGCTCAGGAGAAGATGATACAGCAGGAACATGAGCGTCAGGTCAGGGCGGAGTGAGGGGTGGGGCTCGGGTGGGGCGCCAGGGTGCCAGCCGGGCCAGCCCTCACCGCCCCTTCACTGCCGCCTCTGCCACAGGAGCGGGAAGACGAGCTTCGCGCCATGGCCCGCAAGATCCGTATGAAGTAAGCTGGTCCCCGCCGCCTGTATCGGGGCCACGGCTACCTGCTTCTGGGCCATCCCCCCACCCGCCTCGTTCCCCACCACCCAGCTCTGAGCTAGAGCCCTGGCAGAGCCCCGAGTGGAAAAGTCGGAGCCCCCTCTGGGCCTCAGTTTCCTCTCTCCACCCCCCGCGTACCCCTCTCTGCTCCGCCAGCCTCCAGCATACATTGCTGTTCTCTTGGCACAGACCCCTACCCGGTCCCGTCTGTCACTCCACTGGCCATTCTGTCTGGAGTAGCACCTGAAAACACTCCGTTTTCCAGCCCTGCTATCTTTGCCTTGAAGCACTAACCCCCACCTGTGTTTTTGATTATTGTTGGGGTCCCCACTGAGGTGTCAGATCCAGCTGCTGGCCTCTTGCTGGGTGCTCAGCCTCTAGAACACTGAGGTGGCGCTCTGTTAGTTGAAGGGTCGGTCTCTAGCCAGCCCCGTGGCCAGTCCACCCCAGTGCTTGGAGACGGCTTCTTTTGTCTCCCTTCTGCTTCTCTCATCATCTCGTATCTTCCTCTGCGGAGCCGAGTGGCTCGGAGCCTAGGGCAGACAAATTTGGGGTCCAATGCCAGCTCTGTCTCTCACTGTGTGGCCCTGGGTGGGGGGTACTAGTCCTTTCGGTGCTGACCTCACAGGATAGCTTGGGGATTTGTGCCCATAAGGCCTGAGTCCTCCCAGGGCCATACTGGACACCGTAGTACTTCGTGTTGGCAAGGAGGGGAGTCAGTGATGGGACTGTGTCAGCTATTACTCTTTTCTGGTTGTACCCGTACTTGTTGTAAGTCCTTGGACAAGCTACTTAACCCCTCTGAGCGGGATTCCTTCCTCTGTGGGGAGACGGGAAACGTAATGATGCACGTGTCTCGGTGGGATCCCGCTCTAGGGTGTAGGAAGGCCCGGTGCCCGACCCCACTGCTCTGAGTCGTTGTCAGTTTATTGCATGCGCTTTGTGTGTTGTGCTTCCGAGGGATGCTGCACGCTTCCATCGGCAGCTGGGCAGAGTGCCCAGCAACTCGGTGTCATGGTCAGTCAGACCTGGGTTCTGATCCCACCTCCGCCACCCACCAGCTGTGGGCCTTTCTCCCGAGCCTCAGTTTGCTCAGCTTCAAAATGGGAATGCAATAGTTGTCCCATCTCAGCCAGGTCAGGGCCAGAAGATCCCAGTAAATGTCACCTGTGGGGTTGCAAATTGTAGTCTGACGATTAAGCACTCATGTTAATTGGTGTAAGCCCCTCTGCTCGCCTGCACCCTGAGTGGGACAGGAAATGATCCACCCACCCAGCCCACCTGTCTGTTTGGCGAGCCTTTTGTAGCAAGGGTGACTGAGACTGTGGTCCCGCCTCTGCCCAGCAGCACCCCCTCTGGGCAGACTGTCCTCATTTCCCAGTGAAGATGGTTTGCTCTTGCACTGGGGCTGGCCTTGGAGTTCAGTGTTGTGGGCTGCACGCTCAGCCGTCCTGGGTTGCCTCCCCTTGCCCGTGCAGGGAGCGGGAACGCCGAGAGAAGGAGAGAGAAGAATGGGAACGCCAGTACAGCCGGCAGAGCCGCTCGCCCTCCCCCCGTTACAGTGAGTGTCCTCCTGGCCGCTGGGTTGGAAGAGCTGGGTGGAGGCTCTGGGGCTTTAAAAAAAGAAGCGATGTCAAAACCAGTCACAAAAAAACGTGGTACTTTTTCACGTTGGTCTTCTGTAAATTAAAATAAAATTCAAGACCGTAAGTGCACAGGCACGTAGCGTTGTCTCTGTCACAAGGGACTTGCAGGAATTAGAAGAATCACCCGTTTCCGGCACATTGGTGTGGGCGGGGGGCACAGGTTGCAGTCCCACAGTGGACGTGCTGGACGCACCTGTCTGGCCTCAGCTGGAGACACATCAGAGGTCCAGCCCCGGAGCCACTCCTGGGCCCTGGGCATTTGCCGTGTCCTCACCCCCTCCTCTCATTCCAGGCCGAGAATACAGCTCTTCCCGAAGGTGAGCAGGGTCCCTGGGAATCACTGTCCAGTGGGAGGGCCCGGTGGGTTCCTCTTCCCCCACTTTGCACTTTACAGTTTTCGAAGCTACCTCCTCCCTCATACTTCCTTCACTCCCACCGTCCCTCGGCAGCTGACTCCCGACCACTGCAGCCCCACGGTCCCCAGGCATGTTGGTGCACGTGTGTACGTGTGCACAGGGCAGGGCTCCCGTGGTCCCGCAGCCCTGCCCCACCCTCACGGGGCCCTCCCCTCTCTCTCTCTCTCCAGGCGCTCAAGGTCCAGATCCCGAAGCCCCCACTACCGACATTAGGCAGGAGTGTGGGGGATGAGGGCTCAAGCTGCGATGCCGCTTGTTTTGTTCTCTAATGAAATAAATTCAAAAGTTATTTAATTCCCTTTACCTGGCCTCATTGTTGTCCGTATGGTGGGTGCGGGGCTCCCAAACCCCCGTACCCCCAGCCGGGGAGGAAGCTTGCTGGGGTTGGGGGACAGGTGTGTGTTGCCCGTGGGACACCCAACCTGGGTCTGGTTGGCTGTGGCTCCGTGAGGGCAGGGGCTCGATCTGCTGGGAAAAGGGCCCACATGGGAGGCCAGGCCCGGACTTTGCCCAGGGCCTCCGGTGACAGGTCCAGGCCTCTCCCTGCCCTCGCCCACACCAGGAACCGGGAGCACGGCTTTCTGTGCCAGTCCTGCTGCGCCCCAGGCACTGGGGGCCAGCCTTCCCCTCACCCCCTCATTCCAAACCGGTCTGTCCAGCCGTCCACCCCAAGGATGGGAAGCCTCCTGCTCTACCTCAGACACCTTGAGAAAGCAGAGTCCACACGTGTGTAACTGGGATTTATTCACAGCGGGGGAAGGACAAGGTCGACACACCTGGTGGCAGTGGTACCGGGGACAGCGGGGAGGCGGGGCAT